TTCTCATGTAAATAAACTTTCTTAAGTGTCATTTCAAATTACCAGCCTCAATATATGATCAACAAGGGGCAATTGTTATCAATCTTAACCAGAATTTTAAACATTAATCATTTTTAATTGTTATTTGGTTACAGTATTTTCTGTAACTAAATAACAGTAAAAATACAGTATTTTCTGTAACTGGAATTTCTTTCTTCAATTTTGTATGGATAAATTACTAATTAAGAAATCTTCAAGTTATGTTAAAACAATTAAAAAATGTATATCTTTTCAGATTAATAAATCCAGAATTTCTACTAATTGCAGTCTTATTTACTTCTCTTGCTTAATGTTATCTGTTAGTTATTGTTAGTCAGTTATTTGTACAGAAGAGAACCAAAGTAATTACAATAAGTATAACCTACTGCATATTAATAAATGCATTATGCAACTTGCAAATAATAATAAATTATCACAGTTTTCTTCAAATTGACTGAATCAAAAATTATAATTTGCACTATTTCTATTTGGTACAAGTGTTATTTGCAAAATCTGATAAGATTATTATTTATGGATATGATAGCACAATGTTCATAATTAGATATATAAGCCACATTTTAGTTGCTGTTGCTCTTTTTTTCTGTAAAAAGAATCAGATAAATTTAAAGCTTTATTTTTTTTATCATAGTATGTCATAAATATAAATAATTTATGTATAGACACATTGTTTATGTATGTTACATAAACTAAAAATAATTACTATTTTGATAAAGTAAAAGATAAAATTAAGGTTTGATATTTATTTATATAACTACATTTTAAAGTTCAAGTCTTGATTCAAGTTCAATTATATATTTTCCTTTAAAGCTAATAAAGAAATCTATTATGCACTGTTTAAATTACAACTCTTAAGATAACTCAAATATAAATCATTTAAAGAGATTTGCAACAGTTTGAAACAAAATATTTTTTCATTTTGATGGGAAAATAACGTTTTTCTAGCGTGGGAAAAGCAGATAAGACAGTCACTTCCTTTGACAGAAGTATGAGCATCCTCTGTTTTTCCCTTATCTCTTAAAAATCTCGCTTCGATGGGAACTGTTTACCCCTCATTTCTTCCCTTTCCATCCGTCCACTTGGGAAAATCCTAATACGATGATTGGTCGTAAATGGGAAGATATAGGCGAAGTTCAGCCGAATTCGGGGAGTTCGTCGGTAGATCTAAAAAAGACCGCACTCCACACCCTTGCTCCAAAAGACCAACGCCCATAATTGTATCATATCGAATTAAACTTAAGTTAGAACTTAGAAGAAAAATTTTATATTTGTGCCTACCCAAACCTTTCTTGAACTGAAGTCCAAGAACGTTTTCTATGAAGTACCTTCGACGAATAAGAAGACGACAAAGCCAATTAAACAGGTCGTATGTTTATGAATGAATTGTGAGCTCTCTCTCTCTCCCCTGTATAGGTTAAGAATACATTTCTCTCCTGTCGCGATTGATTTGATTATTCGTTCCTTAATTGATTGTTGTGGATTATTTGATTATTTCTTATTCTTGATTAGTATTGTTTATTTTGTTTATTAAATTTTCTATATTTTGTTAAAGAGATGTCTCGTGTCGATTCTCTGAATCAGATCTACGGCATAAATTTCANGCTTAATGTATAACCTTAATATTTGTCATTTATATCAAACAATAATATAATTGAAATTATTTGTATTTTGAATGACAAATATACACTGTGTATCATTTCTGACTAATAAAATTACAACTGAAAATTCATAATAGTCAACAAATATTTTATAAAGAAATAATACTGTTAATTTGTTCATGTTTAACTTCAATCAAATTAGTAAAAATAAACTTTTCACCTTTCTTGAATTTTAATCTATCACATATTTAAATATTGATCTGAAAAAGCAAACTTTTTCCAATATTTAATATCATTTGTTTTATGTTTAACCAAGTCAACCTATGTACTTTCCCAGCAGCAAAGTAGATAATATACAAATGTCAAATGACTACATTTGACTACTAGTCTACTTCAACTCTGACTTAAGGCATACCATTTTTTTGAAAAATAAGAAGTTCCAGTTAGATCTAAAGCTAACTAGTGAATGTAATCAGAAACATTCATAAATCATCTACTTCACTCCTGCAAAAGTACATAGGTTGACGTGGTTGAATATAGATAAATTGCACTTTCTGAAAGCTGGAACTTATATCATTTGTTTTTATGTTAAATAGCTTACTGCAGTATTTCTCAATGTTTTTAATCTCATGGACTAGTAAAATGTCTGAAAAAATTCTATAAACTACTAAGTTATGTAGGCCTAATTTTTTTAAAACCTGTGTGGGAATTACCAACATTTGGGACATACTGTGCTATTTTAGACGTAATAAATCTAAAAGCAAGTTTAGAACACATATGGAAATAATTAAATTGAAAGTAAAGTATTAAAAGTGACTCATCATCAAATAAAGTTTTAATCTTTGTTAATTTAAGTCTGTTTATGGACTACCTGTTCCATCATCATGGACCACAGATTGAGAAACACTAGCCTAATGTATAAAAGAGTGAAGCAAACTCACATTGTTTTAATTAAACCAAGAATAAAAAAAAAAAAAAAAACTATTTCACTTAATAATTATTCTATTTTATAAACTAAAAGTTTTAAATTCATTTTCAAAATTTAATTCAAATCTCAAAAGTTGATTAATTAATTTATTTACTTGTTTATTTCAATACATGCAATGAAACACTCATGCTAAAAAAAAGCATACACCAGATGTAAAAAAACCTATTAAAAACAACATTATAAATACTTAAGTCTTTGACATAATTTTTAAAAAATAGATGTATCCAATAAATTAAAAAATTTCTGACTTCACTGATAGATTGAGACAATCTTCAGAAGAAATATCTGTTACAGTTAAACAAGTGTAAGTATAAAAAGAAATAGTAATAATAAATGGGTACAAGCAGATAAACTTGATATATGATTAAGCTTATGTAAGGGAATAAAAACTAGTATGTTATCAAAGTAAAAACATCATTTCCCAATGATTAAACTACTGAATTAAATACGCCATCAATTCTGCTATTATGAAACTCTTAAATTTCTTTCATTCTTTCATATATTTTTATTGTCAGGCCTACTAATTTACAGAAAAGCAAAGTGTTCACTATCTATTTATTATTAAAAATATTCAACAATAATAAAGCTTTCCATTGTATAATGTGCTATTTATGATGAATGTCATGTTTATTTATAAGATCTTCTCAACTCCCAGAACTATAAGCATTAGGGCAAAAGAAAGTCTGAAGAACATTACAAACCACACCTTATACTGTCTTAAGATCCTTTATCATATATTGTGCTCATCTAAACATGTAGATTTCATAACAGAATTCATAACAGCTAACCTATTCATAGGTAACTAATTCTAGCTAAACTAGCTAGAATTCATAACAGCTAAGCTATAGCAGAAAATGTGTTTTAAGAGAACACATCTAAAACATACAACTGACTACAGGAAAATTTTTCTAGTGAAGTCAATTGTCTGAATGAAGATAGTCCATGTTTTCCATGGCTTTTTCAAATATGAAACATTATCCTGCAAAAATGCACACAGATGAAATGTTATAATTGTTCAAAAGAGGATGCTGTTTGCTCAATAAAAAATTTGCTTTCAATGAAACAACTTATGCATTAGTTGAAAACTTTATTTGTAAAATTGAATATGGTAATTTTAAAATAATTCTATTATTCCAAATAAAATCTCAGTAAAAACATTTTCTTCTTAATCACTTATATGCAATTTATGCCTGTTATGGTAATCTATGCTATTTGTTAATCTTATACAAATTAAAAGTTAAATTTTGAAGTGAATTGGATCAAAGATCAATATTACAATTTTTTACATTTAAATTTTTGCTTACTTTTGTTTTATGAATTTCCCTCATAAAAAATATATTAGTACTTTTGAATGTATAAACATCTCAATGCCTGATGTTTCTACTTAGAGCCAAATGATCACTGTAATGAATTGAGTTACTTTAATGCTACTATTAATAATTCTATTAGGTACTAGAGGTATCTATAGTAGCACCAAATTACTATATAATAATTAAATTACTTAGAATTTAATTATTATATTGTAGCAGTAAAGTAGCCTGATTCATTATAGCAATCATGAATCTTTTGGTTCATCTGCAGAGAATTGTCTTCTTTTTAAAACTTTTTAAGTAATTGTAAATGCTACTATAGATTAATGAAAAAAACTCCATTTATTAACACTAATACATTTGACTTTGATTTAATTTTTTCAATATCTATCTTGTTCATTAGCTTATCTGCTTTGTTTTGTATGAGATAAACATTAATAGAAAGAATTAAATTGAAAATACTTGAAAAGAAGAGAACTGTCCAAGAATAACCAAAAAGATTCAAAAGTGTTAAATGAGTAAATGTTTTTAAATGAGGAAAGCTCCATGAAATAAAAGTGAAAAATTTTAAATAATTGGAGCCATATAGCAATAGTTTTATATTTATTTAAAAATAAATAATCTTTCTATTTAACAAAAGAACTTTAGTGACATATAATAATCTTATGAAACCTTTTAAATTTTGATGAAAATAATAATAACACAGTTGTAGATTCTACAGTAAAAATTTTTATGATCCATCACAATTTAAATTATCTATGTGGATATCAGGCATTATAGGGAAAAAACAAATGCTTTTAATTAAAATATTATAAGTATCAATATACCTAATTTATGTAAATATTAGCAGTAAATTAAATCAAATAAATAAAAATAATTGGTACTGTAATGGTTTTAGTTTTTTAAGAGTTATTTTACATATCTAACCATATTTATCTGTTTTGTTATAGAAATATATGTAGATGGCAATTATATATTTATTAATAATCTTTATTTTAAATGATCCAATTCACTCATTGCTATTTTCAACAATATACATAAAAGATATGAAATGTATTCATTATTTACTTTTCCAATAGGTGGTCTGATGTCATCTGCAGCTTCCACAGCCGGAACAGTGGAATTTTGTGATGCAGTAGTAGTTGGAGTCAACAATAATGATTGGGGATTAACTGTTTCTTCAGACACTGTGGTTACAGCTGGCTGTGTTGTATCTGATGCTGAAAATCTCAAGATGCTACCATCGAATATGGTTGCTGTCTGAGTTGTACCTTGAGTCAATAATGCTACCTGGCTGGCATCGAGTAAAACTGTACCAGTTCCATCAGGTGCAGTTGCTATAACTAAGCCTGCACCTGAAGTCCCAGAGATGAAAGGAACATTCAGAATTGTTGGAGTAGTACCAGTTAGTGTGGCTCCAATATTACTGATTGCATCAGTTAAAATTGGCATACTTCCAACAGTCACAACAGGAATAGTCTCAGGTAACAAAGTAGCATCAGTTGTAATAATGGTATCTGACAGAGATGAAGTAGCAACACTTACTTCCATTGTATATCATTAATTTTATTATTTTCAAGACCTGGAAAAAATACATATTTACACAAATACATTTAAAAAATCTTTTATTTTAATTAAATATAAATTATTTAAAAATCTCATCAAATTGTTTCAAATTATTTTAAAATTTCAATATTTTAATACTAATATATTAAAAGTGTAATAATTTACTATTGTTTTAAAGTACAGTAGAATCTGCCTGTTGTAATCACTTTGGGAATTATCAGCAATTTAAACTGCTGTACTAGCAAATGGCAATTAACATTTAATGTTTAAATCACTGGTTATGACAGATGATTGTGTTTTATTATTCACATGTTGAGTCTAATAGTGTGAAAAGATAGTTTACAAATGCCTGTTTACCTAAAGATGATAATAAGTTTTATAAAATATATTTGAACTTATATATTTTGGAACATGCTAATTCTGATAACTTTAAACAACCAATTCTAAAATCTGTGATCACAATAGACTCTACTGTATTTATATTTTGTTATCATAATAACTATAAATTACAAAACATGTTTTTAAAACTATTATTATTATTAAATGAGTATTATAAAAAGATTAAAATTTGTTAGAAAAACTTCTAATTTTTATTGCATTTTTATTCTTCTTACTTTCACTTTCTCCTGAAAATAATTTTGAATTCAATCATAATTTATTATGATTGAATTCAAAATTACATTAAATAATATATTACACATCCATTGATCTCTTATTTTATTGAATCTTTTCAAAGACTTCAACTTTAATCGAATCTTTTATTATTGAAAACAATCAACTTTGACTTGGTCATTTTGAAGTATATGTTATCATGCAGTATGAAAGACACCATATCAATATATCATCATACAATGAAAATAGAATTATTTTGATAATGTAGAAATCTGTACTAAACTATTGCAACATAATTTAATTGAAAGACAATGTAACAAGGATGGTCAAATTAACAAGACAGTAAAGATATCAGCATGCCAATCAGATAGTCCATGTCGAGTTCAGGTTGGGAACATTTCTCATGAATGCAGAGCTTTTATTTACTCTCATTTTATGCACCAAATTTAATATTTCCACAACTTCAACTCTCAACATTTTCAGTTTGTGACAGACTAAAAGTTGCCATTACAACTATCAGTACACTGTGTCTGGTATACAAGAGTATGGGATCAAGAATGCAAATGCTGTATGATGTAGTGGCCAACAATCTAAACAAAGTTGGGCTGTCCTCCATTGGACAAAGGTTAAGATGTGCATGACTTGAATGAGTATAGGCTTCATGAATTGGCTCTACAAAGTTGTAACTTCATCAACAGGTAGGCAGGCTTGAAGGGCATGAATCTTATCAGCCTGACAGATGAGCATATAGATGACTAGATTTCTAAATTCTAATTGTAAAATCACTAGCTTAGGTATATACAAACTTTTTTTGTTTGCCTAAGGTTGTCATTAGCTTGTAATAAGTTTACTTGAGCAATTGTGGGCAAATTCTGAGCAAATTTACATTTTTCCAAAAAAAATGGCTAAAATTGCAAAAATTAACATATAAAATGAGAATTTAGCCAAATGCAAAGTTGACATGAAAAAAACAAAAAAAAAATTTTTTTTGAGTGTGGGACAATGAAAAACTGTGGCTGCCCTGAGTTATTTATAACTATGTACAGTACAGCACTGTATTTCTTAGCAGTTTTAATATGTGCAATATATTTCAATTTGTAACATTGTAATAAGTAAATAAATGCATTTTTTAAAACTGACTGATGTGACTCGCCGATTACATAAGTTAACTCACATTTACGAACCTAACAAGTCACTGAAACAAAATTTTTAGGCATACCATACGCTCTATGTATGGCCTTTCCCTGATGGAATCAACCATCAATGCCTTCTCTTTATCAGAAGCTTAATGGCTTTAACACACTGTGGCATTACTTTTGCATCAGTTCATTACTTGAAGAAAAAGAATAGTTTAACAATTCTTTTTCTTCAAGTAATGAACTGTAATATCAGAAGTTATGAGCGTTTTAAGTTTTACACAACTGCCATGGTACGTACATGTGAAGTTCACTGAAAAAAAGAGAAGAAAAATGCTTTAAAAAAGTCATTAGGAAATTATTATTTAATGAATAATAATTTAATGGTGGATACGTAAAACTTCAAATACTCATAGCTTCTGATAAATGCATCTTTCGAAAAAATGTTTTGGATAAAAGTTTGTTTATTTTTGATGCGGAATATAAAATAAAAAATGGGGGTTACAATTCTCATAAAAGAAAAAAAAATGAAGTTAACCCGTTTTCATCGATTGTAGCGCCATCTTGAAGCGTATTTTTCGAGTTATTCCACTATCTGATTAAAACGGTTCATTCCGTATCAGTTCAACTATTACCGAGAAGGGAATCAACTGTTTCAATGTTGCCACATACCATATGTAATTCGGTAAACCTAATGAAATCATCCACCTATTAATTAGGTTATAAACTTCAAAAACTCTGAAATATGATAATTAAACGTGGAATCCGTAACATTGAAATCTGCAATTTAAGATTAAAAAAAACTCTTTCCACCTTGTGGACACTAAGAGGCTTTCCATACACGCATATCGAAAATTCGACCAAACCTCACGAGGCGTCCGTAGTGAGGGAAAGGAATCGACATATCTGGATGTAATCACAAAAAATTTCTGAAGATCTGAATCGGAATCGAATCCGGATTATTCAGAGCGGCGTGCTGGCGCCTTTGCTATCTTTGGCCTAGGGTTTTTCATTCCCCGGTCTTTTGCTTGTCCCGGGATTCCAGGATAAAAGTGAAGTGTTTCCCGGAATCCCGGGACAAAATTAATTATTTTTAAGATATACAAAATATCATGAAATCAAATGATATAATTATTTTTCGTTTTTTAAAGTAATTTAATACGTTCTGTAACCTCCAAAATCATATTAATTAATAATTATGTGTAAGATATATGTTAAAAATTACTTTTGAATTACATAGAAATTGTCATAAATACAAAAAACTTATTAAAGTTTGCTGGAAACTACATACAACAACAACAAAAAATGCTTTGAATTGAGTTAAAAATTAAAAAAAAAAGAACTTAGATTAAACTTCTAACTTAGAAGGTAATTTTCGTTTTTTAAATAAAA